ATAATTGCCAGGTGGCACGGGAAATTGATAAACAAAGCACCAAATACGAATGTAATATAACATATATATTTATATGTTAGGACAAACATTTTAAAAAAACACTTACAGGAGTAATACACATTTACAAAAATACACTTGTACAAAACAATCAGCACTTCTATTTCTAAATTTCAAAACTATGTGTCAAATTATTTAAAACAAACTATAGTTTAAGAATCAAGGGACTACAGATTTACAAATTCACTCGCACTTATAAAATTACCCCTTTCAAAATTTTACATTGTACATCACATGATTGTAAGACAAAGTGGTTACAGATTGAAGTGCCACAACCATATTAGTCACTCTCATCCTCACTTAATACTTTTCCACCATTCCGCTTCTTCAGCATTGTCTTTAGCTTCCTTACTTCACTCTTCAGCTGCACGTTCTGCCTTTCGAGATCATCATACATTTCCCAAATTAAATCCTTCTTGACTTTTTTTCGGGGTAACTGTTTGGCTGCCTCCAGCTTTTTTTCATGTTCAACGAATGGTCTGAACTAGAAGCAGAATAGAAATTATTTTTAAAAAGTGTCATAGCCGTCTAGCGCAGAGAAGCAGATGTAATGAACTCCTGACAGAGGTACACTTACATTTACAACCAGCTCGTCATTATCTACAAATTCCTCCTCCTCGTCAGATGAAAGAACCCTTTTATCCTTTTTGGACGGGGATGCCTGGAAAAGATAGTGTATCAAAAGTGTAAGTAGGAAAGAAAGGAAAGGCCTGGTTACATAATAATACCTTATTACAAAGCGTTACCAAACGTTGCATTTTATACTTCAACTTACCAATTGAGGATCCTCTTTCCCAGCCACATTTAGGGATACTTTGGGCGTGCTTGAGGTTGGCCTGTTTCCCATTTTTTTTGGTGATTCTTTGCTGGTGCTGGCACCAAAGTTTGTCTTCATGCACTCCTGTAGGAACATAAGTATATGATAGCTCTATGTCACATATCAGTTGATGACCTTTGTAAGGAGAACTTTACCTTCACTTCTTGCAGTGATTTTTTCTTTTTTGGCTCAGGAACATTGCTCACTGGCACCTCGGCATCTGAGCCGATGGTTTGCAGAGCCTAAAATAAAAAGAACCAATCAATGACAGACATTTTTAAGCACAAAGAAGTGCATAGTTAATACCATGAGGTTTTAATTTACTACTGAACTTACTTTTCCTGCTCGCGCTTTCCCAAATGGAATAGAAGACGACTGCAAAATAGAAAATATACATATACTGTAATGGCTGACTGAAAAAGTGTATCAGTGAAACGATAGGTAGAGGACAGAACAGCAAAGTGAGAGTAGGTACATCATACACAATACTAAAAATATACCTTATTGAGAGATAGTGATGGACCCCGTTTAATTTTGGATGTAATTGACGCAAAGTCCTAGAAATAAAAAAAGGAGTTAAAAGACGACAAGACAACAAGAAACGACAAGAAAAATGAAACAATTTACTATGAACACACAATAACACATACATTATTTAGAGCAAAGTAAACACTTTAGACGAACCTTGACTGCTTCCATGTTTGTGACCTTTCCACACTCCTCAGTGTCACTTAGATCGATTACTTGAGTAAATACCTCTACCTCGTTCAGAGGAGTATCAGGCACGTGATCTACAGTCTGAAAATGTGGAACAGAAGAGATCAGATTTACAGTAAAAACACCAGCACAATTTCTGTTGAAGGTTATTCACTGT